CTCTACGAACTTGGTGAGTGGAGCTGACCTCCAGGATCGGGGGGTTGACCAGTTCACTCCTGCGAGTCAGCGAGTGACTCACTGTACGTGTGCTAGGACGGGCCGGCACTTGGCCACGTTCACCCGTGCACCTGGCTCGAGTCTGTACACACTGACCACTGAGTCCCCTCAGGTAGCTGCGTCTGCGTCTACGTCTGGTCAGCTGGCGGCCCCCTGCGAGTGTCGCGCTTTGTCGCACGACACTCTCCTGTGGCACCACCGCCTTGGTCACCCCTCCTTGCCTCGCCTGCGTAGCATGCAGTCTCGCTCCCTGGTCTCAAATCTTCCTAGGTCTCTGCGTGACGTGACGTGACGTGACGTGCCTCCTTCGCCTGCGCCGCCCTGCATTCCTTGCGTCGAGGGGCGGCAGCGCGCCGCTCCTCACTCCTCCTCGTTTCCTCCCACAGAGGCTCCACTGCAGACGCTCCACCTGGACGTGTGGGGCCCAGCCCGCGTCTAGGGACAGGGCCACGAGCGGTACTTCCTGCTGGTTGTCGACGACTACACGCGTTACACCACGGTCTTCCCCTTGCGGAGCAAGGCGGATGTCCCTGCTGTTTTGATCCCCTGGATCCGCGCAGTTCGTCTCCAGCTCCGCGAGCGGTTCCGGTCGGACTTTTCTGTCCTGCGTCTGCACTCTGACAGAGGTGGTGAGTTCTCCTCCGACCTCTTGGCAGCCTACTGTGCGGAGCGCGGCATCCGCCAGACGTTCACGCTTCCGGACTCTCCGCAGCAGAATGGGGTTGCTGAGCGCCGCATTGGCTTAGTCATGGAGGTCGCTCGTACCTCCATGATCCATGCGGCTGCCCCCCATTTTCTGTGGCCGTTTGCGGTCCGGTACGCCGCGCATCAGCTCAACCTCTGGCCCCGTGTCTCCTTGCCGGAGACCTCGCCCACACTGCTGTGGACGGGGAAGGTTGGCGATGCGTCGCGTTTCCGGGTCTGGGGTGCTTGTGCCTTTGTCCGCGATACCACCGCGGACAAGCTCTCCTCCCGCGCTGTTCCCTGTGTCTTCCTTGGCTTTGTCCCTGACGCGCCTGGTTGGCAGTTTTACCACCCCACCTCGCGCCGTGTCTTTGCGTCTCAGGACGTCACGTTCGACGAGTCGGTTCCCTTTTACCGTCTCTTCCCCTACCGCACTGCCCCGCTCCCCCCCCCGCCGCTCTTCCTCGCTCCAGGTGCTCCCCAGGTAGACCCCCTCCCCGCTCCAGGTCCTGCTCCTTCAGGTGTTTCTCAGGTAGACCCTCCTCCCTTGACTGCGCCGGTTGAGGTCACTGGTGACTCAGGTCCTACTGAGGGTGGTCCTGCTCGGGGTGCTACTTCTGGGGGTGCTGAGCCTGGGGGTACGGAGCCTGGGGGTGCTGAGCCTGGGGGTACTGAGCCTGAGGGTGCGGAGCTTGAGGGTGTGGAGCCTGGTGGTGCTGAGCCTGAGTGTGAGGGGTCTGGGGGTGCTGAGCTTGGCGGTACTGACGCTGGAGGTTCTGGAGCTACTGAGGGTGCTGGCGCTGGAGGTTCGGGAGCTGCTGGAGGGCCTAGTACTGGTGGCGCTGGAGCTGGAGGTTCTGGAGCTGCTGAGGGTGCTCGCGCTGGAGGTTCTGGAGCCGCTGGAGGTACTGGTGCTGAGGGTACTGACACCGGAGGTTCTGGAGCCGTTGGGGGTGCGGGCGCTGAGGGTTCTGAGTCTGCTGTTGCGCGGTCTCCTTGGAGTAGCCGCCTTCGTCCACGTGTGCCTCTCACCTCACAGCAGCTGCAGGACTGGTACGGTCGCCGTCAGCGTCGCGCTGCTGGAGCCCGGGGCTCTGCTACTGGAGGTACTTCTGCTGACGTCCCTGGAGCTAGGAGTGGTGCTGGTCCTTTGTCTACTGGAGGTGCTGGAGTCGCTGGTTCTGGAGGTGCTCGTGCTGGAGACACTGAGGCTGGAGACCCTGGGACTGGAGGTGCTGCTTTCGGGGGTGCTGCTGCTGGAGACACTGAGGCTGGAGACCCTGGGACTGGAGGTGCTGGTTCTGGGGGTGCTGCTGCTGGAGACACAGAGGTTGGAGACCCTGGGACTGGAGGTGTCGGCTCTGGGACTGGAGCTTCTGGAGCTGCTGGAGGTACTGGAGCTGCTGGAGGTACTGGAGCTGCTGGAGGTACTGGGGCTGGAGCTACCGGTACTGGTGCAGCTGCGCCGACACGACTGTTCTTCGCTCTGCCGTCTCCGTCGTCTCTGCCGCCGTCTGACTCTGTTCTTCGTCAGGTTCTTACTCTCCCGTCGTCTACTGGTCTTCCGTTACAGCCTGGCTCACCGCTGCCTGCTCCTTCTCCTTACACTGAGCAGACTGGTAGTCCTGCTGAGCGTCGTGAGCCTGCGTCGCGTCCTGTTTCGCCTGTTCGTCCTGGTCGTACCGGTCGTCGTGTTCCTCGTTCGCGTCAGTTGGCTGTCCCCAGCCGGTCGTCCTTCCTCTGCTCCGCAGCCTGTTCCTCTGCCGTCTCCTCCTGCGTCCTCTTTGCCTGACGTTCCGGACCCTGCGTCTGACCGGTTTCGTGCTGAGCACCCTACTGTCACGCGTCTGCTAGCCACTGTTGTCACTGACCCGTCGTTTGAGTCTACTGCTGCGTCTGCTCTTGTCGCTGAGCTTGTTGACTTTGCTGTTGCCTGTCGTCTAGACTTCGCTGCCAGTCTTGTTGCTGAGTCTGAGTCTGTCTGTCCTCCGTCCGTCGGAGGTGAGTGTGCTCTTAGCACGGACGTCCTTGAGGACAGGCACGAGGACCTTGAGTGTGTTGCGGCTGCTGCACCTCATCTCGTGGCCATGCTGCTTGCCCCTGAGGGAGACCCGGATGCACCAGACATCCCGACCCCGCGCTTTTACGCTGAGGCGATCGCGGGTAAGTACTCCTCTCAGTGGCAGACAGCCATGGACGCAGAGATGGCATCCTGGAAGTCCACAGGCACTTACGTCGATGAGGTTCCCCCTCCTGGGGCGAACATCGTCGATGGCATGCGGATTTTCAGGGTGAAGCGGCCGCCGGGTTCTCCGCCTGTCTTCAAGGCTCGTTACGTTGCTAGAGGCTTCAGTCAGCGAGAGGGAGTTGACTTCTTCCAGACCTTCTCCCCCACACCGAAGATGACTACTCTTCGGGTGCTGCTGCACGTTGCCGCTCAGCGTGACTACGAGCTTCACTCTCTTGACTTCAGCACAGCTTTCTTACAGGGCAGCCTGCACGAGGAGATCTGGCTGCGCCGCCCACCTGGCTTCACTGGGTCGTTCCCTCCTGGTACCCAGTGGAGCCTCCGGCGGCCAGTCTACGGTCTCCGCCAGGCGCCACGTGAGTGGCACGACACACTGAGGACGACACTGGCGGCTCTTGGGTTTGCTCCTTCGACAGCTGACCCGTCGCTGTTTCTGCGCACCGACACTTCGCTGCCACCGTTCTACATCCTCGTGTACGTCGACGACTTGGTCTTTGCCACTACTGACACTGAGGCTCTCGCCTTGGTGAAGTCGGAGCTGCAGAAGAGACACACGTGCACAGACCTGGGTGAGCTGCGCAGTTACCTTGGCTTGCAGATCACCCGGGACAGAGCACGCCGCACCATCACACTGACTCAGTCACACATGGTGCAGCAGGTCCTTCAGCGCTTCGGCTTCACCTGGTCCTCGCCACAGCACACTCCTCTGGCTACAAGTCACTCGCTCTCAGCTCCACCTTCGGACGAGTCCGTAGAGCCGAGTGGTCCTTACCCAGAGCTAGTGGGCTGTCTCATGTACCTGATGACCTGCACTCGTCCTGACCTTGCGTACCCTCTTGGCCTTCTCGCTCGCTACGTGGCTCCTGGTAGGCACCGACCAGAGCACATGGCTGCTGCTAAGAGGGTACTGCGCTACTTGTGCTGTACATCGGGCATGGGGCTCGTGCTTGGAGGACGGAGTGAGGTGGTCCTCACTGGGCACTCAGACGCGTCTTGGGTTGACGACCAGACTACACAGCGGTCGTCACAGGGTTACACCTTCAGCCTTGGCTCTGGCTCTGTTTCTTGGCGGTCTACACGCTCGTCTTCTGTTCTCAGCTCCAGTTGTGAGGCTGAGATCTACGCCACCGCCATGGCTGCGCAGGAGTTACGCTGGCTCACCTACCTGCTAACTGACTTGGGTGAGCGGCCTCGTTCTCCTCCAGTGCTGTACGTTGACAACAAGGCGGCCATTGCCTTGTGTGAGGAGCACAGACTGGAGCACAGAACGAAGCACATTGCTCTGCGTTACTTCCTGGCTCGAGAGTTGCAGCAGCGAGGCCAGCTTCGTCTTCGTCACGTGGCCACTCGGGCCAACACTGCTGATATATTCACCAAGGCACTTCCGTCTGGTGATCATCAGCGCTTTTGTACTCTGTTGGGCCTTGTGCCTACGTTTCCACACTTGCTGTAGTCTCTGCTTGTACTGTGATCTATATATATACCTGCATGCTGGCTCTTGCTAGGTAGCCATCACTGTACTGTTATTGCTGCATATATATCTCTGCATGTGAACTGGCCTTGTGGCCCTTTGCTTGTGCTCGGAATGCGTGGTGACGTTGTGATCCACCCTGAGCTTGTTTTGCTTCTCTTGACTGGTCGTGTGACCCATTGTTCTCCTCTAGTTTGCCTATGGGGGTGTGTCAAACTATATGTGCTGCATATTGTCTAGGCTGTAGTGGGGTAGCCCATATGGGGTACAACCCAATTAGGGTTTACTACTTGTACTCCTGCATCCTGCTAGTTCATCCATTCCTGCTGCTAGATTCTAACATTTGGGGAAGCTTGGGCTGTATTCGGGGGAGCGTGGGGCACATTAGGGGTAGCGCGGGGCACTTCAAGGGGAGCATGGGGTGTTGAGTCAAAAAGGGGAATTGTGAAGGTCAGATTCAAGACTCATGGCAAAAACAGCTTTGCAGCATATATAAGTGAGATGCATACACTATGCACATGCCCACATGCTGCCCAATTACATCTCCAACATGCACCCCCATGCAACTTCCAGCATACAGGTGGGATGTGTGGGGTAACCACCCAAGCACACATTACCTTCCATGATGCGCAGGTCTCCTTGAAACACCACGATTCTCTTTCTCCCAAACCCCTCAAAGCTCTCGTACACGACGTCCCTCAGCCCGTCCCAGTTCACCAGCGCGCGCTTCGCCATTGGCCGCCTTCCCAGCACCACCACCCAGTTGCGCGGCAGCGCCGCCATGTCCCGGTGGGCGAACGGCGGCACGGAGCGCAGCGTCCAGTTGCGGTGGAAGAGCGGCAGCCCCCTGGGCGGCAGCAGGTGGTGGCTGCGCAGATGCGTCCAAAGGGCCTTGTTGGGGCCGCCACACGTCTGCGCCATGGGCTGGTTTATGGAATGAGGGGGGTGGGTGTGCGGGGGGGGAGGGGTGGGAAGAGGGTGTAATCTGGCACATGGCATCACCCGGCACATTGCATCACCCGGCACATTGCATCACCCGGCACATTGCATCACCCGGCACACATCATCACGGCATCCCAACGTCACCTGGTACATGGTGTCGGCGTGTATAATCTCCCAGTCGTGCACTCGAATGGTCCACATCTCCTCTCGAGGCACACCCACTATGGGCAGCCCTATCTGGTTGTACACCTCCCACTGGGACAAGGGGGGGGGGGAAGTGGAGGAGGGCAGGAAGGGGGATGGGAAAGATGAGAGAGGGTAGTGCAATGGGCATACAGCAGCACCTGTTTACAGCACACCCACTATGGGCAGCCCGATCTGGTTGTACACCTCACAATCAGAGGTGGGGGGGACGAAGGGGAAGTGAAGGAGGGATAGAGGATAGAGGGCATTTGGTATATTGTAGCTTGTATTCACGGCAAGGCCACTATAGGCAGCCCTGTCTTGTCATACACCTCCCTCTGGGAGAACGGGTGAGAGGGAGGGGACGGGGAGGGGCGAGGGGGCAGTGCAATGGTGGCATGGAGGCACCTATTATGGGCAGCTTGATCTCTTTGCACACTTTCCAGTGAGAGGGGAAAAAAGAGGGAGAGGGAGGGGGCGGAGAGGGAGAGGGGAGGAGGAGAGGTTGAATACCACGTGGAGGGCAGAGGAGCAGCACAGTGGGCAATCTTTGTTCTTGTTTTGTTCTTGTTTCTCTTTGTTCGCTCGTCCGTTTGTTTGTTTGTTTTCAATGACTTGCCAGGGAGGAAAGCACGCATGCAGATCTGGTCGCCCGTGGCAGCGATGCGCATGTGGACCGGCGAGGGCAGGAGGCGGGCGGCGGCGTGGAGCAGCGGCACGGCCAGAGCAGTGAGGAGAGAGAAGAACAAGGCAGTGGAAAGGAAAGGGCGTGTGTTACTACCTGGTCGCCCTTGGCGGTGATGGGCATGGCAGGCAGCAGCGATGGGCATGTCACGCAGCAGCGATGGGCATGGCAGGCAGCAGCGATGGGCATATCAGGCAGCAGAGACTCTTGAGGCGCCTCAAAAGTGGACAGAGAAAAGGTGAGTTGATATTTGAGGCGCCTCGAAAATCACCTCAGAAGTGTATTAGTGTTAGCCCTTAATCTCGCACTTTGTATTTTATAATTTCTATTAGCGTAGTGTAGTTTGCACATTGTGTTTGGTTGGGTGTACACCTACATCCCAACCAAACCCAAATGTAATCTCCAAGCAATCTCCAACCCACCAATTGGAGACTGCCTTGGGATTACCCCCAACCCCTAGAGATTGACCACGATTACCTGGTCGCCTTTGGCGGCGATGGGGATGTTAGGCAGCAGCGAGGGCAGGAGGCGTGCAGCGGCGTAGAGCAGCGGCACGGCCTCGATGATGAAATGGTAGAAGTTGCCCGCCTGGCGGTAGTCCCAGTTGAACACCTGCTTTAAGTGGTACACTGTCATGTTGGGAGTGAGGGTCGTCTGTGGGGGGTGAGGAGACATAGGGATGTGATGTGGGCAGGGTGATGCATGCAGCATGAAAGACAGGAAGGGAAGTTGCTCGCCTGGCGGTAGTCCCAGTTGAACACCTCCTTTAAGTGGTACACTGTCATGTTGGGTGTGAGGGTCGTCCGTGGGGGGAGTGGGGGGAGTGGGGTGAGCAAAGGCACACAGGGATGTAAGGCAGCGGCACGGCCTCGATGATGAAATGGTAGAAGTTGCCCGCCTGGCGGTAGTTCCAGTTGAACACCGATTTCAGATGGAATACTGTCATGTTGGGTGTGAGGGTCGTCAGTGGGGGAGTGGGGGGGGTGGGGGAGGGGGGCAAAAGCAGGTAGGGATGTAGAGATGCAGTGAAGAGGGAAGGGAAGTTGCCCGCCTGGCGGTAGTCCCAGTTGAACACCAATCTCAGGTGGTACACAGTCATGTTGGGGGTCAGCTTTGCCTGGGAAAAACACAGGGACGTGGAGATAACTGCATGGAGCATTGTAAGGGTGTATGGAGATGCAGTGATCGCAGGGGAGAAAAGGTAGTTGCCTGTCTGCCCGTAGTCCCAGCCCAGTTGAGCACCTCTTTTCAGGAAATGCGCCGTCATGTTGCCTGGGGGAGGCACAGGGGATTCGGGAGAAAGGGACGAAGCAGTTTAGGAATGCACGGAAATGCTGCGGTGACGAGGAGAAGGGCGGCTACCAGCCTGCTGGTAAACCCAGTGACCCCCCCCCCCCCCCCCCCCCTTCCCCTTCCTTTTCACGGGTACACGCCTGGGAGGAACGCAGAGATGCAGTGAAGGCAGCATGTCCTTTGAGGAGCATGTCCTTTGAGGAGCATGTCCTTTGAGGAGCATGTCCTTTGAATCGCGAGAAAGCAGGGGTGGTGAAGGTGGTCTGGGAGGGAGAGACGGGGGGAAGAAGAAAGAGGTGCAAGGAGGAGAGGAGGGACGGTTGCCGGGCACATCTGGTTGCAACCTTGCTCGGATGTCGCACGCATGGTAAGGAGTTCGGCGAAGGTAGCATTGCAAAGCGCAAACAATCGGAGAAGCGGCATCGAGGTGTGGAGGTGTGGAGGTGTGGAGAGGGGGAATTTGAGAAGCGACGTTGAGGTGTGGAGAGGGGGAATTTGAGAAGCGACGTTGAGGTGTGGAGAGGGGGGATTTGAGGGGACGGGTGGAGTGAGAGGGGTTCAAGGGAGGTGGAGCTGCCTGGCTGGTGGCTTCCTCACTGAGCATTTCCTGGAAGCACATGGAGCATTAGAGGTGCACAAACAATGGTACAGCCGGCACGGAACAATCAAGCAAGCATGCAAGAAGGCAAGCGAGCAAGAAGGCAAGCATGCAAAACACACAGCGCGGTACGGCACCTTGAGGAAGCAGGCAAGCAAGCAAGCAAGCTAGCAAGCTAGCAAGAAAGCAAGCTAGCAAGCTAGCAAGAAAGCAAGCTAGAAAGCTAGCAAGAAAGCAGTGCAGCACCTTGAGGAAGCGCTTTCACCTTGAGGAAGCGCTTTCACCTTGAGGAAGCGCTTTCACCTTGAGGAAGCGCTTTCACCTTGAGGAAGCGCTTTCACCTTGAGGAAGCGCTTTCACCTTGAGGAAGCGCTTTCACCTTGAGGAAGCGCTTTCACCTAGAGGAAGCGCTTTCACCTTGAGGAAGCGCTTTCACCTTGAGGAAGCGCTTTCACCTTGAGGAAGCGCTTTCACCTTGAGGAAGCGCTTTCACCTTGAGGAAGCGCTTGCAGCCGTTGCGGTTGAAGCGATGCGTCAAGTTGAACACGTATCCCCCGAACGCCGAGTACACGTCGCTCATCTTGAACACCTGCATGCATGCATGTACGGCCGTGCCATCGCTCAGTGATATCTTTGGCAAGCATTGCAAAGCTATAGCTTTGCAAATCTATCTCAGAGAGCAGCAGTCACTACCCAGCTATAGCTATAGTTTACGCTTAAGCAAAAGAACAGCAGCGGTTTCTGAGTCGACTCAAAAGTCCTCATATATCCCACAAACGCCGAGTAACCCACATCTCTATCTTGAACACACCTGCATGGCGGTGGCATCTCGCGGGTTCACATCCCGGCGGTGTGAGCACTGCGGGTCAATGAAATCCCATGGCCGCCGCAGCTTCCCCACATCTTCCACGGGCTGCAGGCGCGGGCAGTTGAGCAGGCCCGCGGGGAAGACACGGCGCGGGTCAGTAGCGGAAGAAAGAAGCCTGGTTAAATGCGAGCTGGAACGTTGCTAAGAGAGCCTTGCTTCGAGTAACTTCCTCACCTGCAGGCGCGGGCAGTTGAGTGGATCCGCGGGAAAGACACGGCGTGTGTCTGTGAGGTGCTCATTCCAGCAGGCTTGCACGTGCGGGAAGGATGGCCCACAATGGCCGAACTTGGGGCAGGGGGGCCCGCGGCACCGCAGGTGCGGGCCGAGGTGGGGCTGCTGATCGTAGTAGTCGAGCATGATGGAGGGCAGCGCTGCCGTGTGGAGCGTGCGGTTGAACGGCGCTGCTGATGCTCTCACTGCAGACCGGCGCTCCATTTGGCTGGGGGCGCAGGGGTGGGGGAGTTGGAGGGCAGAGCAGGGCAGAGTGAGAAGCACAGGGGAGGGAGGGGGCGGGCAGCACTTGAGGCGTGCGCCGAGGCTCGTAGTAGTCGAGCATGATGGAGGGGAGAGCTGCTGTGTGGAGCGCGCGGTTAAACGGCGCTGCTGCTCTTCTTAGTACGTCCCGCCGCTCCATGTGGCTGGGGGGCCGGCCGAGGGGAGGGGAGGGGAGAGCAGGGCAGGGGAGGGAAGAGGAGGGCACGAGAGGGCAGGGGAGGGCAGGGGAGGCGAGGAAGGAAGGAAAAAAAGGGGAGGGACAAGATTTGGTGCATGCATGAGCCTCGTAGGGCGGAGGGGCGGAAAAAGGCAACAAGGAAACGGCAAGGAGCAGAATGAATGAAGAAAGTTGGCAGTAGTTCTTGGTACGAGGCAATAACAATGAAACTGGCAAACCGGCCAGGGAACAGAGATGGGAGGGAGGCAGATATTCGCACATGTATAACGCTCCCAGAAGAGTGGAAAGAAAAATGTTGGGAGAGCGGGTTGTGCCGGGGGAGGAAAGAAGCGGCTGACAGGCAACAGAAAGAGAAGTGGAGAGGGACAATAAAGACACAGCCAGAAGCGAGAGAGGTGTGTTGCGAGAGAGAGGTGCGTTGCGAGAGAGAGGTGCGTTGCGAGAGGTGCTCACAGCTGCTTGGAAAGTGATCGCTCGAACTGCTGCACGCGACCCAACAGGGCCTCCTGCCGCGCCTTGCCATCCTCACCCTCCCGACCCTCCTGAGCCTCCTGAGCCTCGTGAACCCCGTCTGCATCTGATAGAGGTGGCCATAGGATGGCAGACACGAGGCGCAGCAGGGATTGGGATTCATAGAGGGGATGTGGACAAAAGGTGCGGGGATGGGCGGCAGAGTGAGTGATGGGCAGAATGAGTGATGGGTAGAGTGAGTGATGGGCAGAGTGAGTGATGATGGTGACCGCATGGCATAGTGATCCACACACCAAGCTGCACATTGCACTGCAGTCACACGCCAATCACGCTACAGTCACACGCTGATCGCGCTACAGTCACACGCCAATCGCGCTACAGTCACACGCCAATTGCGCTACAGTCACACATACCTCGAGCCACAGCATGCCGCAAGGAGAGGAACGAGAGGAGGAGCACGCCGAGCAGCAGGCGTCGGTCATAGTGATGATGATTGGGATGGTGATTGTGATAGTGATTGTGATTGTGAATGTGATTGTGATTGTATCCGGCGTGACTGTAGCCCCTGTGGCTGTGGCTGCGATCGTGGCAGGCTCGGCGGGAGAGCGGACTCCCGTGGCTGCCTGGAGGGCAGCGAGGGGGGGCGGAGGGTTGGGGCAGTGGGGGTGGTTGGGGCAGGGGGAATGGATGGGGCAGCGGGGGATGGATTCGGCAGCGGGGGATGGATGGGGCAGAGGCGGGTGAATGAATCTTGTCGCTAAAGCGTCAGCTGTGCGCAACGACGAGGCGATCCAGCCTGCGACGATGCATGCGACTGTGAGAAGGAGGAGGTGGAGGCGGAAGGGGAGCCGGAGGGGGAGGCGGAGGTGGGAGGAGTGGGGAGGAGGAGAGGGAGGAGGAGCATTCCCGCACAGGCACTTACCCCATCTCCACCGGACTCCTTGATCGGCACGATTTAAACGTGTCACCATGTTACCACGCTGTAACATGCCACCATCGCTACGGCGTCGCGAATGACGTGAACGGGGTGGAAGGCGTGCGGAGAGAGAGTGGGCAACGGAAGGGGATGAGCGAAGCGAGGCGCGGCGAAGTGTGTGATCGACTAAGGGAAAGCGTATACAACGATCAGGCTCGGTCTACCTTGTTTGGCTGGGGTGAATGGCTTTCAAACAGCCAAAAGCACATGATGCGATGCGAGGTGTGATCTGAGGGCGTGGAACTTGGCTCGCAGTTGCGGCCTGCGTTCCGAAACCCGAAAGTGGTAACCACCTTGTCGAAACATAATTTAGGTTGGACGATGATTGCCAAACTGCAATCTGGGTTTCGGTTTCCCACTTTGCTGTAGAAGTTCCACGTGGATACAGCTGATGAAACGAATTGACGGTCCACACGGGTCCGCACCCGAGCCCGTCCTATTTGAAGTGAAGTTCCATCCGTACAACACCTACATGTTCTTTTGTACATTCATGAATAGTTCGTACAGCTTCCAGACACCTTATACCGCGAATGCGCACCTTATTTCACTGCATGCCGCTCCTCCGTCCGCCCTTCCATCCCACAGCATGTGTGCAATTTTCACGCCCCTCTAGCTTTTAGTCACCAGCGCGCCGCGCGCCTTTAGCGAGCCTTTAGTTACCAGCGCGACGCACGCGTATTACCACTCGGCCTGTTCTTAGTAGCGTTCTTCCCTCGCTTGCTTGGTCATCTCGCCACTAGCTACCAATGGACTCACCTGTTCGACCCGCTCGACCTGCTCGGCTGGCACGACCCGCTCGAAATGCTGCCATCTGCTTATCATGTTCTGCCCTCGCTCTTCTCCTCGCGCTCCTAGTATTTTTCTCCAATCCGCCATGCAGCACTTTTCGCCTTTCGTCGCTCGAAGTCGCATCGCTCGCACCCTCCCTCGGCCATACCATCCCGATACTATCACCAATCGCGTCCTTCCTTTCTTCCGCTCGTCTTCACTTCTCCCCGCCGCTCGCCAATTCCGCCCATTCTAGCGCCGCTACCGCCCCATCCACGCGGGCCGATTCTCCGTCGCACGCGACGATACGCGACGCTCCCGATATCGCCTCGCACTCGTCGCCGTCGCGTCGCTCGTCGCCGTCGCACGGCGTGGGCGACGCGGCGGCGATTCTCCCCGAGTACCTGGGCCACGTGGCGACGGGCGGCGACGGCCTCGCGTGGGGCGACAGGTGCTTCGAACAGGTCACTGCGCGACTGACCGTGCGCGAGGGGAGGCCTGGCCACGTGGGTAAAGGAGGCAGAGAAGAGGGAGGAAGAGGGGAGGAGGAGGAGGAGGAGGAGGAGGAGAGTCCGTGGGGATGAGACGAAGCGTGAGAGAGCAGGGTTGGGATGTGGGAGAGGGGGAAGATGGGGAGGCGAGGGCGAGGAGGAGAGTGATACGGGGCGAGGAAGGGGGGAGGGAGTGGGTGGTGGCGATGCAGCGGGAGGCAGAGGCGGAGGGAGAGGGCGGGTCGGATGGGGCGAGGGTGAGGGTGATGGATGTACGACAGGCTGCAGCGACCGTGACTCTCTCTGTGCGTGCCACATGCACCACTCGTGACACATGCACCCCGTGCCGTGACACATGCACCCTGCGTCGTGACACATGCACCCCGCGTCGTGACACATGCACCCTGTGTCGTGACACATGCACCCCGTGTCGTGCCACATGCACCCCGTGTCGTGCCACATGCACTCTGTGTCATGAAATATGCACCCCGTGTCGTACCACATGCACCCTGTGTCGTGCCACATGCACCCCGTGCCGTGCCACATGCACCCCGTGCCGTGACATATGCACCCTGTGTCGTGACACATGACACACACACCCTGTTCTGTCCGTGACACGCAAGACATGAGAGTGTGCGGCCAAGCGTGTGTGTGTGTGCTCAAGGGACGTGGATGGTGACGCCATGCGCGCTTGCGCACCCCTCCACCATTGCCCATGCGGCATGCCTGCCTCCCCCTGCCACCTGCTGTGCTCCACTTCAAACCCCTCCAGCCTATGAGTGTTTTCCGTTGCTCCACTTCATCCCCCTCTTTCACCATCACCCCATTCTCCTTTCCCCCTACCCCACTGGCCACCGCCAGCCCTGCAACAAGCAGCATGTGCTCTCCACGGACTCGTATGCACTTGCGAGACGCCTTGTTTCCCACCCACCAACACGCCTTCCCCCAACACGCCTTCCCCATGCAACACCCACCAGCCGCATGGCTTGCGGCGCATGCTATGCACAGACAGACGTGTACGCCCTCTCCACGCCATTCCACTCTTCCCATGCCTTTCCCCCAACAAACCCTCCCTATGCCACCGCCCTTTCCCACCAGCCATGTGGCAAGCGGCGCATGCTCTGCACGGCCGTATACGCGCTCGCCACGCCCTACTCCCTTACTCTTAACATGCCTTTCCATGCCACCCCCGCCCCTCTCTCCCCACCAGCCCCGTGGAAAGCGGTGCATGCTATGCACAGTCGTGTATGCCCTCGCCACGCCCTTCATCCCTTCCCCCCACCATACCTGCCTAATACCATCCCTGTCCCCACCAGCCCCATGGCAAGCGCCACATGCTCTGCACGGCCGTGTACGCGCTGGCCACGCCCTTCCACCTGGTGGTGCGCGTGCTTCCCCTCGCCCTGCCCCGCCCCGTCACCGTGCCCTGGCCGCCCATGGGACCACTCGAGGCCGATTATGTGCGTCCCATATGCCTCCTGTCCCATGCATGCGTGTGTCTGCATCCCACGCATGTGTGCTTCCCCTCGCCCTGCCCCATCAAGTCACCGTGCCCTGGCCGCCCTTGGGACCCCTCGAGACTGACTATGTGCGTTCGTCTGTGTGCATTCCATTCCATGCATGTGTGTGTGCGCCTCTCACCTCACTGCACTCTCCTGCTTGCTCTCCCTCAGTCGATGTCTGCCATCCCAGAGATGCTCCACAAAACATCCACTCTCTCTTCTCTTCCACCACACCTCAAAAATTTTCATCCTGCCACAGACCCCCCGCCCTCCCCTTTCCTGCCCATCTCTACCTGGGGCCCCGTCCCCTGGCCATCTCTCCCCCCGCCCTCTGCAGGTGCAGCTGCGGGGCATCGCTGTGTTCCACCTGCTCGCTCTACCGCTATTTCTCACCCCCATGCCATTCCCCCCCTCCCCTTCCTCCTCCCCCCCCCACCCCACCCTCTGCAGGTCCAGCAGCGGGGCGTGGATGTGTTTCACCTGCCCCACAAGCTGTGGGGAGCAGTGAAGGCGCTGCTGCAGCTGCTGCCTTGTTTTGAGGCAAATTCCTCCCCTCTCCTGCCATCTCCCCATCCCCCTCCTCCCCCCCCCACCCCACCTTCTGCAGGTGCAGCAGCGGGGCATCGCTGTGTTCCGGCTGCCCCACGGGCTGTGGGGGGCGGTGAAGGCGCTGCTGCAGCTGCTGCCTCTGGCGTCCGACAGCAGTGTGGGGGAGGCGGCGCAAATGCGCTTCCTGCAGCAACACATGCACGCCTCCTTCCACCCCCATGTGTATGCCTCTCTTCGGTGCCCCTTGTATATGTCACCCCCTTCCCCTTGGCTATGTTATGCTCACGAATATGCATAGTGTTTCACACTGCCATACCTGCCCTGCCGCCCATGCCGTGCTGCTGCTGACAGCAAGTTGCAAGTACATTCTCTTCAGCATCCCTAGCCTCTCCCTACACACCACCCTCCCCCCACCAGCCTGCTAACCCCTCCTCCGGACCTCACCCTCCCTGCCGCCACAGCCTTCCTCTCTAGTGGCGATCTGCTGCTGATGAGCCTCCTTAACCTCATCGGCCTCCTTGGCCTCTCTCCTTCTGACCTCCCTTTCCCCCGCACCAGGCCCCTCACCCCACCCCCAGACCTCACTCTCCCTGCTGCAACAGCCTTCCTGTCGAGCGGCGATGTGCTGCTGACGAGCAAGTTCCGCGGGCCGTGGGGGCTCTTTGAGACCATCGAGAAGTGGGTCACCGGCAGCTATGCCGCTCATGCCGCCCTGCTGCTGACCAGCAAGTAGCAAGTACATTCTCATCAGCATCCCTAGCCGCTCCCCACACACCACCCTTCTCCCCCACCAGGCCGCTAACCCCTCCTCCGGACCTCTCTCTCCCCGCCGCCACGGCCTTCCTGTCGAGCGGCGATGTGCTGCTGACGAGCAAGTTCCGCGGGCCGTGGGGGCTCTTTGAGACCATCGAGAAGTGGGTCACCGGCAGCTATGCCGCTCATGCTGCCCTGCTGCTGCGTGCTGATGCCGGGAGGGCGGGTGCAGGTGGGGGAGGTGATGGGGGTGATGGAATTGATGGGGGTGATGGGGGTGAAGGAGAGGGGGAAGTGGGGGAGGGGGAGCTCTGGGTTGCAGAGAGCGGGCGGATTAGTGTGGCAGGGCAGCCGGAGATTGCGGTGGAGCGGTTTTCAGAGTGGTGGAGGCGGATGCAGAGGGATCCGAGTGGGCAGCACGTGGTGGTGCTGCGGCTGGGGGAGGAGGGGCGGCGGCGGTGGGACAATGGGTGCGCGTGGGCGTTCGTGAGGGCGATGGAGGGGCGGCTGTTTGGGTATCACAACATCATGTTCAGCTGGATCGACACGCCTGCTGGCAACTTTCCTCCGCCCATCAATGAGAACACGGTGCGAGTGGGCTGGTGTTGTTTTTTGAGTCATTGAGTCGACTGAAAATTGGAGGGGCGGCTGTTTGGGGTCCACAACATCATGTTCAGCTGGATCGGCACGGCTGCTGGCAATTTCCCTCCGCCCATCAACGAGAACACTGTGAGAGGGGGGACTTGTGCTTGTTTTTGATTCAACTGAACGTTGGAGGGGCGGCATGGGAAACAACTGAACGTTGGAGGGGAGAACAGGAGGAGACATGGGAAAGAACAGAGCAGATCATGATGGAGAGGAGACATGGGCACGGCATGCCATCGCGCTGTTTTTGATTCAACTGAACGTTGGAGGGGCGGCATGCAGAGAGGGAGAATGTGGTGCTCTTCGCCACTCCTTTCACCACCCCCTTCGCTCCGTCCCTCACTGCCCCGTTCCACTCCTTAGGTGGCAGCGCTGGCAGCGGTGTGGAGCCGAGTGCAGCCGGAATATGCCGCCCGCATTTGGAACGAGGCCCTTAACAGACGCCTGGGGACACAGGTGGGTGGTCAGGTGAATAGTCAGGTGAATAGTCAGGTGAATAGTTCCACCTGAACGTGCAATCTGAGGTTGCTCTGTTGGTTTTCTCCTAGCTTTTCTATGAAGTCGGATGGTCACGGCTTCATCCGCTCGCTACAGACGTGATTCCTGTTTTTGAGGCGCCTCAAGATCCGTCGCGGCTTTGTCGTCTGGCTACAGTTGTAATTCATGTTGCGTGTTTTGAGGCTCCTCAAAAGTACTGTTGCGTGTTGCTATTTCTCTTTATGGTAAAACTTATCCATCCTTTCCCCCTCCAACACACCAATCAGAACCTCTCGCTAGAGCAAGTGCTGGTTGAGTGTCAGCGCCGAAACATTTCATTCGGGCAGCTGCTGGCGCTGCCCGAGCAGGACAGCTGGCGCTACAGTGACGGGCTGTCGCTGTCGTGTGTGGCGTTTGCGCTGCGTGTGTGGAAGGAGGCGGGTGTGTTTGGCCCCATGGGGGACAACATTAATGTCAGCGAGTTCACGGTCAGTGCTGCTGCAGGCTGTGTGGCATCGCGGCATTGCAACCCATGCTGCTATGCTGCCATGCTGTGTCGCAACCCATGCTGCTATGCTGCCATGCTGTGTCGCAACCCATGCTGCTATGCTGCCATGCTGTGTCGCAACCCATGCTGCTATGCTGCCATGCTGTGTCGCAACCCATGCTGCTATGCTGCCATGCTGTGTCGCAACCCATGCTGCTATGCTGCCATGCTGTGTCGCAACCCATGCTGCTATGCTGCCATGCTGTGTCGCAACCCATGCTGCTATGCTGCCATGCTGTGTCGCAACCCATGCTGCTATGCTGCCATGCTGTGTCGCAACCCATGCTGCCATGCTGTGTCGCAACCCATGCTGCTATGCTGCCATGCTGTGTCGCAACCCATGCTGCTATGCTGCCATGCTGTGTCGCAACCCATGCTGCTATGCTGCCATGCTGTGTCGCAACCCATGCTGCTATGCTGCCATGCTGTGTCGCAACCCATGCTGCTATGCTGCCATGCTGTGTCGCAACCCATGCTGCTATGCTGCCATGCTGTGTCGCAACCCATGCTGCCATGCTGTGTCGCAACCCATGCTGCTATGCTGCCATGCTGTGTCGCAACCCATGCTGCTATGCTGCCATGCTGTGTCGCAACCCATGCTGCTATGCTGCCATGCTGTGTCGCAACCCATGCTGCTATGCTGCCATGCTGTGTCGCAACCCATGCTGCTATGCTGCCATGCTGTGTCGCAACCCATGCTGCTATGCTGCCATGCTGTGTCGCAACCCATGCTGCTATGCTGCCATGCTGTGTCGCAACCCATGCTGCTATGCTGCCATGCTGTGTCGCAACCCATGCTGCTATGCTGCCATGCTGTGTCGCAACCCATGCTGCTATGCTGCCATGCTGTGTCGCAACCCATGCTGCTATGCTGCCATGCTGTGTCGCAACCCATGCTGCTATGCTGCCATGCTGTGTCGCAACCCATGCTGCTATGCTGCCATGCTGTGTCGCAACCCATGCTGCTATGCTGCCATGCTGTGTCGCAACCCATGCTGCTATGCTGCCATGCTGTGTCGCAACCCATGCTGCTATGCTGCCATGCTGTGTCGCAACCCATGCTGCTATGCTGCCATGCTGTGTCGCAACCCATGCTGCTATGCTGCCATGCTGTGTCGCAACCCATGCTGCTATGCTGCCATGCTGTGTCGCAACCCATGCTGCTATGCTGCCATGCTGTGTCGCAACCCATGCTGCTGTGCTGCCATGCTGTGTCGCAACCCATGCTGCTATGCTGCCATGCTGTGTCGCAACCCATGCTGCTATGCTGCCATGCTGTGTCGCAACCCATGCTGCTATGCTGCCATGCTGTGTCGCAACCCATGCTGCTATGCTGCCATGCTGTGTCGCAACCCATGCTGCTATGCTGCCATGCTGTGTCGCAACCCATGCTGCTATGCTGCCATGCTGTGTCGCAACCCATGCTGCTATGCTGCCATGCTGTGTCGCAACCCATGCTGCTATGCTGCCATGCTGTGTCGCAACCCATGCTGCTATGCTGCCATGCTGTGTCGCAACCCATGCTGCTATGCTGCCATGCTGTGTCGCAACCCATGCTGCTATGCTGCCATGCTGTGTCGCAACCCATGCTGCTATGCTGCCATGCTGTGTCGCAACCCATGCTGCTGTGCTGCCATGCTGTGTCGCAACCCATGCTGCTATGCTGCCATGCTGTGTCGCAACCCATGCTGCTATGCTGCCATGCTGTGTCGCAACCCATGCTGCTATGCTGCCATGCTGTGTCGCAACCCATGCTGCTATGCTGCCATGCTGTGTCGCAACCCATGCTGCTATGCTGCCATGCTGTGTCGCAACCCATGCTGCTATGCTGCCATGCTGTGTCGCAACCCATGCTGCTATGCTGCCATGCTGTGTCGCAACCCATGCTGCTATGCTGCCATGCTGTGTCGCAACCCATGCTGCTATGCTGCCATGCTGTGTCGCAACCCATGCTGCTATGCTGCCATGCTGTGTCGCAACCCATGCTGCTATGCTGCCATGCTGTGTCGCAACCCATGCTGCTATGCTGCCATGCTGTGTCGCAACCCATGCTGCTATGCTGCCATGCTGTGTCGCAACCCATGCTGCTATGCTGCCATGCTGTGTCGCAACCCATGCTGCTATGCTGCCATGCTGTGTCGCAACCCATGCTGCTATGCTGCCATGCTGTGTCGCAACCCATGCTGCTATGCTGCCATGCTGTGTCGCAACCCATGCTGCTATGCTGCCATGCTGTGTCGCAACCCATGCTGCTATGCTGCCATGCTGTGTCGCAACCCATGCTGCTATGCTGCCATGCTGTGTCGCAACCCATGCTGCTATGCTGCCATGCTGTGTCGCAACCCATGCTGCTATGCTGTGTCGCAACCCATGCTGCTATGCTGCCATGCTGTGTCGCAACCCATGCTGCTATGCTGCCATGCTGTGTCGCAACCCATGCTGCTATGCTGCCATGCTGTGTCGCAACCCATGCTGCTATGCTGCCATGCTGTGTCGCAACCCATGCTGCTATGCTGCCATGCTGTGTCGCAACCCATGCTGCTATGCTGCCATGCTGTGTCGCAACCCATGCTGCTATGCTGCCATGCTGTGTCGCAACCCATGCTGCTATGCTGCCATGCTGTGTCGCAACCCATGCTGCTATGCTGCCATGCTGTGTCGCAACCCATGCTGCTATGCTGCCATGCTGTGTCGCAACCCATGCTGCTATGCTGCCATGCTGTGTCGCAACCCATGCTGCTATGCTGCCATGCTGTGTCGCAACCCATGCTGCTATGCTGCCATGCTGTGTCGCAACCCATGCTGCTATGCTGCCATGCTGTGTCGCAACCCATGCTGCTATGCTGCCATGCTGTGTCGCAACCCATGCTGCTATGCTGCCATGCTGTGTCGCAACCCATGCTGCTATGCTGCCATGCTGTGTCGCAACCCATGCTGCTATGCTGCCATGCTGTGTCGCAACCCATGCTGCTATGCTGCCATGCTGTGTCGCAACCCATGCTGCTATGCTGCCATGCTGTGTCGCAACCCATGCTGCTATGCTGCCATGCTGTGTCGCAACCCATGCTGCTATGCTGCCATGCTGTGTCGCAACCCATGCTGCTATGCTGCCATGCTGTGTCGCAACCCATGCTGCTATGCTGCCATGCTGTGTCGCAACCCATGCTGCTATGCTGCCATGCTGTGTCGCAACCCATGCTGCTATGCTGCCATGCTGTGTCGCAACCCATGCTGCTATGCTGCCATGCTGTGTCGCAACCCATGCTGCTATGCTGCCATGCTGTGTCGCAACCCATGCTGCTATGCTGCCATGCTGTGTCGCAACCCATGCTGCTATGCTGCCATGCTGTGTCGCAACCCATGCTGCTATGCTGCCATGCTGTGTCGCAACCCATGCTGCTATGCTGCCATGCTGTGTCGCAACCCATGCTGCTATGCTGCCATGCTGTGTCGCAACCCATGCTGCTATGCTGCCATGCTGTGTCGCAACCCATGCTGCTATGCTGCCATGCTGTGTCGCAACCCATGCTGCTATGCTGCCATGCTGTGTCGCAACCCATGCTGCTATGCTGCCATGCTGTGTCGCAACCCATGCTGCTATGCTGCCATGCTGTGTCGCAACCCATGCTGCTATGCTGCCATGCTGTGTCGCAACCCATGCTGCTATGCTGCCATGCTGTGTCGCAACCCATGCTGCTATGCTGCCATGCTGTGTCGCAACCCATGCTGCTATGCTGCCATGCTGTGTCGCAACCCATGCTGCTATGCTGCCATGCTGTGTCGCAACCCATGCTGCTATGCTGCCATGCTGTGTCGCAACCCATGCTGCTATGCTGCCATGCTGTGTCGCAACCCATGCTGCTATGCTGCCATGCTGTGTCGCAACCCATGCTGCTATGCTGCCATGCTGTGTCGCAACCCATGCTGCTATGCTGCCATGCTGTGTCGCAACCCATGCTGCTATGCTGCCATGCTGTGTCGCAACCCATGCTGCTATGCTGCCATGCTGTGTCGCAACCCATGCTGCTATGCTGCCATGCTGTGTCGCAACCCATGCTGCTATGCTGCCATGCTGTGTCGCAACCCATGCTGCTATGCTGCCATGCTGTGTCGCAACCCATGCTGCTATGCTGCCATGCTGTGTCGCAACCCATGCTGCTATGCTGCCATGCTGTGTCGCTACCCATGCTGCCATGTTGCTGTGCTTCCAAGCTGCGAGTCGACTCAAGCTGCGCATGTGGAAGGAAGCGGGTGTGTTTGGCGCCATGGGAGAGCACATCAACGTCAGCAAATTAACTGTCCGTGCCTCTGCTGTGCTCCAATGCTGCCATGCTGCGACGCTGCCATGCTGCCATGCTGCGACGCCGCTGTGTGCCGCTTTCCCACGACCTCTGCAATCCCATGCCACGTGGCATCTCTTTGTCCTCCTCCAAGCAGCCCTTGTCTCACCACAACCTCATCCTGCTTTTAACTGTGACACCTGCCATCCTCCCTTCCCCCTTCCCATCAGATCCGAGACGCCTACCAGCTGCAACTCTTTGCTTCCAACGCCTCCCACCTGCTGTTCTGGTGCTTCTGAGTCGACTTAAAAGTCTCCGCTGTCACGCGGCATCCTCTATGCCCATCCACCATCCCCTTCTCCCCCCAAACCCCCCCCCCCCTTCCTCCCACCCCCACCCCTCTTCAGATCCGAGACGCCTACCAGCTGCAGCTCTTTGCCTCCAACGCTTCCCACCTGCCATCCTGGTGCTTCAGCCAAGACCAATCAGAGGAGGTGCAAGCAGGACAGGAGGAGCAAGCAGGGAAGGAGGATGAAGGTGGGAGAAAGGGGATCAGGGGAACGAGGGAGGTGGTGGAAATGGGGCGTAGCACCACACGGGGAGGGGAGGGGGTGGGTGGAGCGAGAGCGTGGTGTCAGCTGCTGGGCAAGTGGCGTTTCGACCTGCCAGGGTTCAACTCCATCCCTCTCTATGCCCACATGAACGAACGATGCCCCACCCTCCCTCCTAACTACATGCGGCCGTCCTTCTGCTGACGTCATTTCTGGAATAAGGGAGAGCAGGGGAGGGAGGAAAAGCGTAGCATCAAGCAAGGAAGCGAGGGGGTGGGTGGAGCGCGGGCGTGGTGTCAGCTGCTGGGGGAAGTGGCGTTTCGACCTGCCTGGTTTCAACTGCATGCCCACATGAACGAACAATGCCCCACCCTTCCCCCCAATTACATGCGGCCGTCCTGCTGACATCATTCATAGCTGCGCGCGAACATTGTGCCACTCTCTATCCTGGCTTCAGCAGTGCGTTGCGTTGCGTGGAGTTTAGATAGCTAACTAGCACGGTTGTTCACAGCTGTACATAATGCATGCTGGCAAAGCCTCTGCGCCCCTTTTGATAGTGATGTATTACAATACCGCGCATTCTTCTATATGGTGTCAAGCTTTATCCACCACCAGTGGTGCTTTTTAAATTCAGGATTTACATACGTTTGAAGGATGTGTGCTGTTCCAACCTAGTGCCACTGTGTTACACAAGACACGGCTGGATTACAGTACCGTATGTGAGGACAGAACATAAAACGATACGAAGAATGGCTATTACCGTTATAGCTATATCGGATGAAAGTACTTATTGAATGTTGTGTACAATCAGAAAGCGCTGTTTGCTTTTACCGAGTCGACTTTCCAACAGGTACGTTACTAGTACTGGCATGGCGGCAGGGTATATTCGCGACGCGAAACTCGTTTCCTCGTATATTAGAAATGCATGAAGCATAGTCGCTCGATCGTTAGCAAGCCGGTCGCCCATTGTCGAAGCTGGTCGTCATGCGCCAATAGTAAAGGCCTCCTCTGCGTAAATGCTTTCGTGCATTCAGGCTATTGCGGACCTGGACCCCCCCTCCCTCTTTTGCGCCACTAAAACGCGTCCTTCGCGCGAATGCTCTCATGTATTTCGGCTCTCCAACGTAGACCCCCCCTCCCTCATTCGCGACGATGGCCGGCTCACTGTCACCTCGCCTGACCATTCTCCTCGCCGCACTCGCGCTCGCGGTCTCGCTCACGCCGGCCTTGCCTGCTTCCACTGCTGTGACTCTCCATCCCTCGCAAGGTCCGTCAGCTGTCCATTTCGCGCTTGCCTGACCTCCGTTGGTCCTTACACGGCGAACGTCGTCACCAGCTCGTGCCGCCAGCTGCTGTAACGCCTGTGAGCTAGTGTTAGGACATTCCGCTGCGCCTAAAACCCACGTTTTGACCTAGTCGGTAGCGAGGTGTTATACTGGTACCAGAGCCTAGGGTTCGACTCCCGGCTGGTCCACATTGTCCACTGTGAGTGAGACCTTGAATGTGGTGATCCAGTCGTGAACCTAGCGAGCGGTCCTCCGCTGGCCTGACCCTGACCTCACCAGCGAAGTCGCTGCTTGGAGCACAGCGGGGGCCGACTCCCTGAAGTTCGCCGAACGAGGACGTTGACACCAGGGGGGGACGAGTGTAACGCCTGAGGACCAGTGTTAAGGGCATTCCGCTGCGCCAAATAACACCCTCGTTTTGACCCAGTGGGTAGCGAGGTGTTATAGCCGGGGTGTACAGCTCGGGCGCTGGAGTTTATTAGTTCATTCCAAACTTGCCGGTTATGTTGGATTCCAGTATAATCGTGAACGATACCATGCTCTGCCGTTTAGATCTCCCACTGCACTGTAGTACTACCATGTCCGCGTGTAACTCAACCGCTGTGTATTCTATCCGCAGTGCATCATCCTATCCGCAGTGCATCATCCTTGCATCATCCTATCCGCAGTGCATCATCCTATCCGCAGTGCATCATCCTATCCGCAGTGCATCATCCTATCCGCAGTGCATCATCCTATCCGCAGTGCATCATCCTATCCGCAGTGCATCATCCTATCCGCAGTGCATCATCCTATCCGCAGTGCATCATCCTATCCCGCAGTGCATCATCCTATCCGCAGTGCATCATCCTATCCGCAGTGCATCATCCTATCCGCAGTGCATCATCCTATCCGCAGTGCATCATCCTATCCGCAGTGCATCATCCTATCCGCAGTGCATCATCCCATCCGCAGTGCATCATCCTATCCGCAGTGCATCATCCTATCCGCAGTGCATCATCCTATCCGCAGTGCATCATCCTATCCGCAGTGCATCATCCTATCCGCAGTGCATCATCCTATCCGCAGTGCATCATCCTATCCGCAGTGCATCATCCTATCCGCAGTGCATCATCCTATCCGCAGTGCATCATCCTATCCGCGCCGCATCATCCTATCCGCGCTGCATCATCCTACCCGCTCACCTGTCCACTCCCGCCTCCTCCTTGTTCATTCAATCCTCTCCTCACTGCCTTTCGGCCTTCCTGCCCTTCCGCCTCTCCGGTCCACACTCGCTCTTCTCCCACACCTGGCCTCTCCTTTCCTCCGTGTTCGCTGCTTCATCCCCTTTCTCGCTGCATGCCCGAATCCCACTTTCCATTTGCTGACCTTTCTCACACTCAATCCCTCTCCTTTCCTCACCCCCCTTTCTCTTCCCTATAATGTGGTTCCTTCTTCCTGCCTGCTAATCCCTTCCTGTGCGCCATTCCCCCACCCCCCACCCCCCCCCCCCCCCCTTTCCCCCCCACGCGCACCCCCCTCCACCCTCCCCCCTGGCACCCCCCACAATCCGCCTGCTTCCCCCTCCCCATGCACGAAACAACCCCCCAATTCTCCCTTTCCCCTCCCCCCCACCCCCCCCCCCTCCCTCCTCTCTCTCATCCGCCTGCTTTCCCTCTCCACCGCTGTTGTTCCCCGCAGCGGCGGTGCTGGCGGAGTGTCAGAGGCAGTGGCGTTCGCAGCTGCATGGGTGGAGCACAGGGGGTGATTGCGCCAAGGTGTATGGGGTGCGCTGTGATGCGGCTGGCTTCCTTGTTTCCATGTATGTGTGTGTTTGGGGTGCGCTGTGATGCGGCTGGCTTCCTTGTTTCCATGTATGTGTGTGTTTGGGGTGCGCTGTGATGCGGCTGGCTTCCTTGTTTCCATGTATGTGTGTGTTTGGGGTGCGCTGTGATGCGGCTGGCTTCCTTGTTTCCATGTATGTGTGTGTTTGGGGTGCGCTGTGATGCGGCTGGCTTCCTTGTTTCCATGTATGTGTGTGTTTGGGGTGCGCTGTGATGCGGCTGGCTTCCTTGTTTCCATGTATGTGTGTGTTTGGGGTGCGCTGTGATGCGGCTGGCTTCCTTGTTTCCATGTATGTGTGTGTTTGGGGTGCGCTGTGATGCGGCTGGCTTCCTTGTTTCCATGTATGTGTGTGTTTGGGGTGCGCTGTGATGCGGCTGGCTTCCTTGTTTCCATGTATGTGTGTGTTTGGGGTGCGCTGTGATGCTGCTGGCTTCCTTGTTTGTTTCCATGTATGTGTGTGTTTGTTTGAATCGCTTCTTGCCCCTCTGTTTCTTTTGTTTTCTCGTTCTGCTTTTTGTTGGGTTTGTTTGTTTGTTTGTTTTTTCTGAGTTGCCTTTGCGCTGCGGTAACGCATTCGCAGATAGTGTGGGCATGGAGATGCAGACGGGGTGGGAGTTCCTCTCTGGTTGTCGTGTAATTTCTGGCTTCCCAATCCAGCCCATCCCCCATCGAGCCATCCCCCATGCACCATTCTCCAAGCCCCGTGCTCCATTCCCTTCCCCATGCTTGACATGAGCACGGGTCTAGTCGAGCCATGCTTGACATGAGCACGGGTCTAGTCGAGCCATGCTTGACATGAGCACGGGTCTAGTCGAGCCATGCTTGACATGAACACGGGTTTAGTTGAGCCATGCTTGACATGAGCACGTGTCTAGTCGAGCCATGCTTGACATGAGCACGGGTCTAGTCGAGCCATGCTTGACATGAGCACGGGTCTAGTCGAGCCATGCTTGACATGAGCACGGGTCTAGTCGAGCCATGCTTGACCTCGAGCTGGCTGTGCCTAGCCTTGACCTCAAGCCGAGTCGAGTCGAGTCGAGCCAGGCCGAGCTGAGCTGACTTGTGACCTCATTTGGCTCGTGGCTTACCCGAGCCACTAAAGGGCTTGGGTCGAGCCACATTGGCTTGTGACGAGCCGAGCCAGGCTCGATTCAAGCAGTCACATATTGACTCCTCTCCCCCGCCTTGCCCTCTGTTCTCCCACCTCTGTATCATAAAGAACGACGGGCCAACGAAAGGCTTGCAACGAGTCAAATTGACTCGCGAGCCATCCATGGCTCGCCCACTCAGCTCGACTTGTCTCGATCTGAGACAGTGGGGGAAACAAAAAGGCTCGACTCGCAGGTAACTCGAGCCGAGCCTGTGGAGCGGAGTCAAGGCTTGTCGATATGCTCATGTCTACCCCATGCCCGATGCTCCAATTCCAAAGTCTCATGCTCCATATCCCTTCCCTAAGCTCCATTCCCCAGCCCTTCTCTATGCTCCGTTCCCCATTCCTTCCCTATGTGCTCCATTCCCCATCCCTTCCCTATGCTCCGTTCTTCATCCCTTTCCTATGCTCTCCATTCCCCATCCCTATGTTCCATTCCCCGTCCTATGCTCCATTCCCCATCCATATGCTCCATTCCCCATCCGTATGCTCCATTCCCCATCCGTATGCTCCATTCCCCATCCGTATGCTCCATTCTTCAAGCCATATTCTCCATGCCCTATGACCACTGCTCCATGCTTCATTCGGCATGCCCAATGCCCCATGCTCCATTCCCATTCCCATGCTGCATTCCCCATACCCCATGCTCCATTCACCTTGCCCCGTCTCCCCAATGGCAGTGCCAGTGGTTATCTCTGTGAACAACCAACCAGCACCACTCTTTACCATGCTTCTTCCCTTGTGCCGGGTGCCCCCATACCTTGCTACAGGAATGTCACTGATTTTATTTTTGGTGGTCCCATTCCAGATGCCCTTTGGAACCTCACAGCTCTCACACTGCTGTACGTACGGCAGGGATTGCCATGCACTGGAATGCCATGCACTGGAATGCCATGCACCAGAATGCCATACATTAGAATGTTCCTTGTCCTGTGCATGTGATTGCCTCGTCTGTCCACGCCTACCTACCCTATCTCCTGCCACCGACTCTCCCCTGTCAATCATCTGTGTCCCAGGCCAAGCCTCAAGTGGCACAGCAGCTCTGGCAGTGGCTGCATAATCTACAGATTCACCTCAGTTTTTTCTTGTCCCTTCCCTTACCTCCACTTTTCTGCCATCACCTTTCCACACCATAATCTACCATCTGTTTCTCGCCACCTAGTGACCTTTCTTTCAACAAGCTCAATGGCTCCATTCCAGCATCCCTGTCTCGCCTTTCCCGCTTACAAGAGCTGTGAGTGGCATGTCTGCAAAGAGCATGGCATGGACGATTATGTTGACCACCAATTGGATCTAGAAGGCTCTATCCACCGATTAACTCACAAAGTAATCACCACGGGGTCACCCCTAGAGTCCTGATGTTCCTGGTAAAACCAGCCTCTATCCAAGGATCCGTGCTTGTTCAGATGGTTACCAAGTGCAATGTCAACTGAAAGTATTATAGTAGTCCCACAAATACTTGCGCAACGTTACGACAACAAATCGACTCCTTTGCAACAAGCTTTTTCCGCGTCAGTATGTCGGTAGAGAAAATAATCAAACAAAAAAAATGATCTACAATCAAACACAAGCACACATCTATATAGAACAGTCAGCACGAGTAAAGGCAATCACTAAGTAGCCTTCTCCAGGCCCCCCTGCTCGAGCCCCAAATAGAGCCACTAGGACTTGTAGTCCCCACCGCTGCACTTCTAGTGACGTTGCAATGTAATCTCGACCTGTACATTTCAAACGCTCGAACATGCTTAAGTCTGATGTGGTTCGAGTGTTTTAGGCCAACACTCGAACATGTTTGACCTGAACAGTATATTATTTCAAATGAATATTTTTCTTCCAAAAGATAAACACTGTTTGGCTTGACCTGAACAAGGTTGAGTCGAACCAAACAGTGGTTTTCCCATTTGCTCATCCCTATGGCAGAATACCCAGCACAACACAGCCATACCCAACCGGATTCGATCCACTGGGTGAAGAACGCGTTTTTTTAATTGTCTTTCTGCAGTTTGTCCCCCCACTTCCTGATTTGCTTGTTGCTTGCCTTATGGTGTGGTGTGCTTGGTTGGATAGGATTCTCACCCAGAATTTATTCGTGGGATCGATTCCGTCGTCCATACTTTCACTCACCAAACTTGGCAAGTTGTGAGCATGCTTATCTGGCCCCTATCAATCTTGATGTTGTATGTTAGCATATCAATTGCATTGTTGCAAGTTGAAGCTGATTAATGGTTAGAAGGGCTAACTATTGTAAGTATAATCAGTTATGGGTTTGTTTTAAAACTTGATCGATCAAATGTCCATGAGTACTTTGTTAGATACAGCCGAGCACCCACAAGGATTCGGGGCATGTTAAAAGTAGAGACTGCCAGATGCTTGTACAACCTCTTATTTGGTCAAATGCTTGACTTCAAATGCTTATTCATACATAGTGCATGATGTATATAAGCATGCAATGAACATCTACCTAGTGCATGATCTATAAAAGCATACTCTAAGAATCTAAATAGTGCAGGATACGTATATACATGCGAAAACATCTACACAGTGCAGGATACGTTTAAGCATGCTCCAAGCATCCACATAGTGCACTAGAGAGTGAAACCCCCTGTTTGGACATCACGATGTTCTCTCCTGTCAAGGGTGTCCACTCTCCAGCACGGTGGTGGTAATGTCCGCTGGAAAATAGCAAGCTCCCACCACATAACGTGCAAGGCCATGACTAGCCTCACATGCAAGGCATTGGAGGTCCTCCTCCATGTGCCACAACCATGATGAGTTTGTGCCCTTACATTGTTGGGCTGAGGTCACGTTTTTTGTTCTGGTGTGCGTGTTAGAGAGGGTAGGTAGTAGGGTCCACTCCCTGCATGCATGTAGGGAGGATCGTGGTCTCATGGTCTCATGGTCTCACAACTCTTTGGACCCAGGGCTGAGGCTGCAAAGATGTCGATTGATAGCAATGACGTATTAGGCCCTTCACTAGCAATGATCTCTCATGATTTCGCCCCACCCGTTGTCTATGATCATGGCGCACATATCAGAGATCTCAACAGCAATCGGTGGGTCCATCCCAGCATCCATTGCTCGCCTTGTTGCCGCCTCATACCTGCATCTTATATTTCACCCCACCCGTTGTCTATGAGCATGGCACACATATCAGAGATCTCAACAGCAATCGGCTGTCCGGGTCCATCCCAGCAGCCATTTCTGGCTTTGTTGCCTCCTCACACATGTAAGCTGCCCTTTTACCAGAGACAGCCTTTGAACCATTTATGGGGTAGGGTATGCCATCTGCTGCGAGCGATATCCCATCTGCCCTTTTATCGTACCCAACTTATGCTTGTCAGCACGTACGTCCCAGTTGTATTGTAACAATGGCAGTGCAAGGAGTGGGCATGGTTACATGATACATCTGACGAATCAGGTTATGACTGTGGCTTGGCGCATAGACCCGTGGGGTGGGGTGTCATTGGGCGGTTGTTCATGTGTTATGAGCATGCTTAAGCTCCTCGTGTTATGAGCGTGCTTAAGCTCCTCGTGTTATGAGCGTGCTTAAGCTCCTCGTGTTATGAGCGTGGTGAAGCTCCTCGTGTTATGAGCGTGCTTAAGCTCCTCGTGTTATGAGCGAGGTTAAGCTCCTCGTGTTATGAGCGTGGTTAAGCTCCTCGTGTTATGAGCGTGGTTAAGCTCCTCGTGTTATGAGCGTGGTTAAGCTCCTCGTGTTATGAGCGTGGTGAAGCTCCTCGTGTTATGAGCGTGCTTAAGCTCCTCGTGTTATGAGCGTGCTTAAGCTCCTCGTGTTATGAGCGTGCTTAAGCTCCTCGTGTTATGAGCGAGGTTAAGCTCCTCGTGTTATGAGCGTGCTTAAGCTCCTCGTGTTATGAGCGAGGTTAAGCTCCTCGTGTTATGAGCGAGGTTAAGCTCCTCGTGTTATGAGCAAGGTTAAGCTCCTCGTGTTATGAGCGTGGTTAAGCTCCTCGTGTTATGAGCGTGGTTAAGCTCCTCGTGTTATGAGCGTGGTGAAGCTCCTCGTGTTATGAGCGTGCTTAAGCTCCTCGTGTTATGAGCGAGGTTAAGCTCCTCGTGTTATGAGCGTGGTTAAGCTCCTCGTGTTATGAGCGTGGTTAAGCTCCTCGTGTTATGAGCGTGGTTAAGCTCCTCGTGTTATGAGCGTGCTTAAGCTCCTCGTGTTATGAGCGAGGTTAAGCTCCTCGTGTTATGAGCGTGGTGAAGCTCCTCGTGTTATGAGCGAGGTTAAGCTCCTCGTGTTATGAGCGTGGTTAAGCTCCTCGTGTTATGAGCGAGGTTAAGCTCCTCGTGTTATGAGCGTGGTTAAGCTCCTCGTGTTATGAGCGTGGTGAAGCTCCTCGTGTTATGAGCGAGGTTAAGCTCCTCGTGTTATGAGCGTGGTGAAGCTCCTCGTGTTATGAACGTGGTGAAGCTCCTCGTGTTATGAGCGTGGTGAAGCTCCTCGTGTTATGAGCGTGGTGAAGCTCCTCGTGTTATGAGCGTGGTGAAGTTCCTCGTGTTATGAGCGTGGTGAAGCTCCTCGTGTTATGAGCGTGGTGAAGCTCCTCGTGTTATGAGCGTGGTGAAGCTCCTCTGTTATGAGCGTGGTGAAGCTCCTCGTGTTATGAGCGTGGTGAAGCTCCTCGTGTTATGAGCGTGGTGAAGCTCCTCGTGTTATGAGCGTGGTGAAGCTCCTCGTGTTATGAGCGTGGTGAAGCTCCTCGTGTTATGAGCGTGGTGAAGCTCCTCGTGTTATGAGCATGGTGAAGCTCCTCGTGTTATGAGCGTGGTGAAGCTCCTCGTGTTATGAGCGTGGTGAAGCTCCTCGTGTTATGAGCGTGGTGAAGCTCCTCGTGTTATGAGCGAGGTGAAGCTCCTCGTGTTATGAGCGTGGTGAAGCTCCTCGTGTTATGAGCGTGGTGAAGCTCCTCGTGTTATGAGCGTGGTGAAGCTCCTCGTGTTATGAGCGTGGTGAAGCTCCTCGTGTTAT